AGTGTGTTTGTGTGTGTCTGTGTGTGTGTGTGTGTGTATGTGTGTGTGTGTTCGTCCCAAAGTCATATAGGCTTTCTTCTCTCTTTTTCATTCTTTTTAAGGTTTTGATCCTCTGACTGAATAATTTTTAAATATTCTTGCATTCTAGATCACTGATTCTTTATTCCGCTTGTTCAAGTCTACTGTTGAAGCTCTAGGACAGCTTTTTTTAATTGATTTTTATTTCTTCGTTGAACTTATTTTCTTCATTCACCGTTTTCTAACTTCATTTAGTTATCTGTTTGCTTTTGTAGTTCACTAAAATTCTTTAAGAAGTTTATTCTAAATTATTTCTCTGACAGCTCTCCTTTCCTTTTGGGTCATTTATTTGCAGCATTTTTAGTTTAATTTTATTGTGTTACATTCACATGATTTTTCTTACTTTCTTCATTCCTTACTTTGGTATTTGTGCATTTGAGTAATTGGTCTCCTCTTCCAGACTTTACAGGCTTACTTTGGCAGACAGTTCTTCGTTAGCCAGCTCAGTTTAGGTTTTTGGACATGTCCTTGGGCAGACAGGTTCTATTTTGGGGTGAGAGCCACTGTCCAAGCTCTGAAGTAAAGGATGAGGGGTATTAACTGTCAGGACTGCTGACATGGTTCCCTGCCCAAATGAGGCAGTAGGATGTACTCTGTGGTTGTCTAGATTCACTGATCAGCCTTCCTAAAAGGTAAGGAAAAAGAACTCTACTCAGCAGTAGCTGAGGAATGAATTAGCTTCCCTGCCATGACAAGGCAGCAGAATAGGCCACATGACTTGCATGCCTCATTATTTGTGGACCCACGTTAGGCAGACTGTACCCTTAATTCCTTGGCCACATGGGACCACTGGGTTTTGCTCTGAAGATGGGGAAAACCATGAGCTGTGCTGTCTGTTCAAATGCCACTGTAAGCAGGATTGTTGGATAGAATGGCACAGCTTCCTGTGTGCTCTGACTAGATTCATTGGTTGGGCTTTCTGAAGGCTATATTTAGCAATGGCAGGGTTATGAATTAGTTTCCTTGCCCAGGTGGAATTGGAGAATCAGCTTAGCTCTTTGTGGGCTCAACCCAAGCTATCTGTTACTCCAGTTTCCTGGCCAGACAGCGCCACTGGCTTCGCTCTGTGAACAATCAGCTCTGCCTCTGTACTCTCTGTTCATGTTGCTGCACTGTGCAGCTACCAGGTATTCTAGCCAGGCTCCTTGTTAGGGGTAGCCAGGGGCTCCGCCAGTCATTAGGCAAGGCTATAAACAGCTATGCCGACTGGGTAGAAGGTCCAGGGCCAGCAAAGCTTTTCATCTGAGGACTCAAATCAGGCAGATTTGCACCTCATTGACTTCCCTGATCATACACTTCCACTGTCCTGGCTCTGCAGATCTACTAGTTGGGATCTACAGTTGCTATGGATGGGAAGTTGGCTTGCCAAGGTCTAAGCATTGATTGTTGCAACCCTCACCCCTACCCTGCCTTCTCTGTCATGATCAGATTTACAGTGGTCAAATCCCACTCGTCTTTTGTGATCCTCATGGGGCAGGACCAGAGTAGGGCTCCCAGTGACCCACAGTACTGGGGGATCTAGATGTCCACTTTGTACTCTCCTCCCACTTGAGGGACCACAGCCTGAGAAGACCTCTCAGTGTTGTGCTGCACCAGTGTGGGGGAGGGGTAATGCATCATGCATAGTTGCTCCTGCTGATCTTCTTATGAGGTCTGTCTTGATCTCTGGTGCCGGTGGTACTTCAGCCTCACTTCCATGTTCTGGGAGTAGACTTGGGAAAGACCTATGTTATCATCTTGTTAATATCACTCCTGTTGTAATTTAATTCTGATTAGGGACCTGGAGATAAGCAGGGGTAGTGAGACAAAAGTTCCAGTTATTTTCATTAAAAGTGTCATTTTTTAAATGTAGGGACTTTTTCATTGTTTATAGGGAAGCTTACTCTACTAGCAAGAGCGGTCCAGTGATATTTGTCCATGTCACTCTAGTTCCAATTTCAAGTTTCAGATTCTGACTCCTGCATCAAATCTGGGAAGTTTGATAATTAAATTGGTGCTATAACCCTACAGTACTTGTAACTAGGCCCTGAGCTTGGTCCTCAAACCAACAACTAGAGGAGATGATGAGTCACTACTGTGCTGCTGTAGAGGCTTTCTGATGGCCTGTTTACATTCTCAGTTGCTCATTTATAGTTTTTCCTTTCTGTTCCATAATGTGCTTCCTCTAGCACTTCCATAAGAAGTCAGTTGACCCCACAATTTTTATTATAGCTTGTTTCTGTAAGAGCGAAGTGCCTTGATGAGCCTCACATCTTGGCCTTTACCTGCACCTTATCTTATGCCACATTTGGCAGTAATTTGAGAAATTATGATGTCATTGCGTATTGTGAATTACCGTTGTCCCATTTCTCCTTGTCAGGGAAGATACTTGTGCATTTGTTTTATTTGTGACAGCCTAATCATAAGAAAGAAGGCAGTGGCACCCCACTCCAGGACTCTTGCCTGGAAAATCCCATGGATGGAGGAGCCTGGTGGGCTGCAGTCCATGGAGTCGATAAGAGTAGGACATGACTTCACTTTCACTTTCACTTTCATGCATTGGAGAAGGAAATGGCAACCCACTCCAGTATTCTTGCCTGGAGAATCCCAGGGATGGGGGAGCCTGATGGGCTGCCGTCTATGGGGTCTCACAGAGTCGGACACGACTGAAGTGGCTTAGCAGCAGCAATCATAAGAAAGCTTTCTTGAGGATCTGTTTTCTGTGGTTTCTCCTGATGCTAGTTCCTGTATCTTTGAGAATATTGGCTGGAAGCACATAGCATACTTGCGACTGAGTACTCTGGTTACATGGCCACTTTGTGAGCTGGGAAGTGGAGCATCATGTGGACTCTCCTGCATGAACATGATCGTGGTCTAAGAAATTAGGCAAATGGAAGATCATGGTCCATATAGCCAAAAATCTGATGTAAAAATAGCACACTTAGGTAGTTATGACAGTTATTTAAGGATTATCTTACGCATTCAATTGTCAAATCATGGTTCATACATAGGTTCATACATTTATATCTTAATAAAATCTCATAAGAAGGGCTTCAGGTTCTTAGTTGTCTAAGGAACTGTATTTCCATATTCTTAAGTACTTGATAAAACAATAAAATGATCTTAATTAGAAAAATACTATTTTTACTACCCTTCAGTGAATTGTCTTTTATTTGAATTTTCTTTGATGTTGATGTAGTATCCCCAGGAGATAACTTTGGAGGCAGTTTCAGTTATTGTTACCCAGATGCTGGGACTCAGTCTGGGAATATCATATGATGACCCAAAGAAATGTCGATGTTCAGGAGCCATCTGCATAATGAGTACAAAAGCCCTGTAAGTTTTTCCAAAAATAAATTTTATTTATTTGTTGAATTTATCAATAATTTGTTTAAATAATTCAAGTGAAAGTTTTTAGTATTTGTTTATAGTGCAAATTAATAAATGGACCAAGTACCACAAAATCTAAATATGAAATTATAAGCCTAAGAGTAGTTTGGTGGAAGGTTAGTATTAAAAACAAAATAACAAATCCAGTCTACAAGATACATTACCAAAGGAATTTCCCATAGACTGTGTATTTTATGAAATCACGTAAGGGATCTTTAAAAATATCTGTAGCTCACAACAAGTGACCTTTGTTTTTAGAGTATATTAATATTCTTGGAAAACTTCAATCTAAATGACATAACATTTGTGTGACTTTGGATAAATTACTAGACCTTGCTTAGGTTTAGTTTTCTCATCTTTAAAATGGAAATGATTATGCCTATTGTCTTGTTTTCCAGAGTGATATAAGAACAAAATGAGAAAATATAATGGAAAAGTGTTTTTTAAATTGTAAAGTTTCACAAGTATGTGATGGATTAGCTACAATGATTTATAAATTTGCCAATGTTCCTCACATGGTATATGATACAAGGGCTATAGCAGGTGTCATAAGTATTCTAAAGTTTTTCATTTGTAATAAGGGCCTATGCTAAGTATGACCTATTCATAACTGAAGAACAAACAAAAGTCAAAGGCCATTACTTTTCGAAAACATACTCTTTTTATAGTTGTAAGCACCACCTAAAGTTAGTTCTTACATTCTAAAAATAGCTCAAACACATACATATTTTTGTATACAGACATGTTACATTATAAACTAGTTCTACATGTGTTATATATAAAAATAATATTTATATGTATAAAATATTTAATTTTATTAAATTTCAATGTATAAATTACAATACTGTTTATTGAATCAAATATAAGATTTATATAGCTGTATAAACAAGATGAGAATTGCCACTTTGGGCCTGTTGTTCATTTGGCCAACTATTTTCAAGTATGCTTATGACAGGATGCTTTGGGTAGCTCACCCAGAGTCTGGTATTAATGATAATAAAAATAACAGATATTTACATTGTACTTGCTGTGTGTGAGAGGGTATTTCAAACACTTTGCATATGTTGTGTCATTTGGTTTTCACAGCATCTCCGTAGGGCAGGTCCTAATATTCTCACCTTTACAGATGAGAAACTGAATTATAAAAAGGATAACTATCTGTGGTCAGATAGTTGGTTGTGGCAGTCCAGAGTTTTGAACCCAGTCATTCTGGCTTTAGAATCTGTGTTAATAAACCTTTGGATTTGTATACTGCTTTGTGATATATCAAATGCTTTCATACATATTTTCCATTTTCTTAAAGAAACTTTTTTGAAGTGTGTAGGGCAAATGTTATCTTAATTTTAATGAAATTTAACAATTTTATTTGCATCTATGTGTAAGGTATATAAATGAATATATAAGATCTATCTATGAATGTATATAGATGTATCTTTTGCATGTCTGCAGTACTTCTCATATGTTATTTTATGTGATTTTCAAAGAATGTGTGTAAGTAAAGCAAATATTATTATTTCCATTTGTCTTTTTCCATGTGTTTTTTTACTTTTTTGTGCTTTAAGGTTAACAATTATTTAATGTATTAACATTTTCACTTATAAACATACAATTTGCATATACAGGGAAAAACTGGTTCTTAAGACACCACAGAATACTAGAGACAGGCAAGCAATCAGAAAAAAAAAGATCAACCCTAGGGGAAAAAATGGAACCACATTCCATGCCAGTGTCTGTAAACTTCGGAAGGTGAAAAAGATCGCACAGAATCACAATTAATGTAGAAAGCAAACACGGGTCATTCTGTATCAATGGCAGGAACTTTTCCCATAATTCAGATCTTGCATCCCAGTCTGGTCCATTTCATGAATGTTGATCTGAAACACAGTCGCTCACCTCTCCCTTCTCTTTAAATCTAACTCTGAAGTTAACTAAGAAATTTAACGAACAGAGCTAAGAAACAAGCAGACTGGCATGTGTTCAATATTAATGGCCAGTTATTTAAAAGTACACATGGAAGTAAAATGCTGGCTAAACATTTTACTTTAGTTAAAGTGAACAATTTCCTTCCAGCTCACCTAACTTCTTGATTTAGGACTACCTAAGTGAGGCGACCAAAGATTGGCATCTATGAGAATTGGGGCCAGGGAAATGAAGCATCTCAGCCCATCTTTATGCTGAGCATGCATTTCCTGTCAGGATCAAGTCACTAGGGACAATGAATTTCCAGATTCAACTACAGTTGCCCAGCATGGCTTGCCCAGCTAGGGACAGGGACTGGAGATTGGGGATCACATGTACGTCAGGACTCCAGTCCACAACTCCCTCCAGTCTGTCAGGAGGCAGCCACGGGAACACAGGGAGACCATCTGCTTCAAGGGCATTTCAGTGACATAACTCAGTACCTGTGGTTCCAGTAATTCCTAGTTCAAAATTAACACTCCAGTGCAACATTAAAAACTGAGTTTAGTATTTTGTTTCTAAAGCATACAGCTTGAATAATGATTACCATCTGAACAAAGCTATTCTTATTACATATGATGTAAAATAAGTAACATTTTTAACCATCAAAACCAGTGTTGTCACACATAACATCTGGCAACTTTCCACCACATGACACATCAAAAGAGATGACAGCCAAGTATACTTCTTTCCAGCTGGAAGCAGACTCTCCAGTGTCAACAGGTGCAGTGGAACTGGCTGGGAAACAGACCTGTGGTCACCACAATGCTCATTAGGCATCTAGTTTCCATACAGAGATAGATCTATTCAAGTCTCCCTCAGAGGTGGAGTGGACTGATAAGTGAAACAAAAAACCATGTCTGTAACTGGTTACATAAAATATAAACAGAATTTGTGCTACCAGGAGTGTATTTTGTGGAAACATGGCCACATGGAATATAGGGGCAGAGACTGTCATTGTGTCTTTGTAAATGTACATTTTTTAAAACATGCAGGACAGAAAACTGGAATAACTGAAGTTTTAAAATTTATATAGATAAATAAGAAATAACAGAAATGCAGGACCCTCAGTTTTTCAGAGCTTCGCATATAAGTTGGGTCTCAAAATTAAATGGTTCACTAAAGTCAGAAATAAAAGCAAGGCTGGTGTCCTAGTCAGGTGGAGAGGTATCTTGAGCAGGTCATTCATGTCTCTAGGCTGAAATTCCCATCTATAACCTGAGTTTCCCCCACCATACAGCACAGAGCTTGGGGACAGTGCCCAGTCCTACCCAGGACAGGAGATGGGCCCATTAACAGCCTTCAGAAAGACATAAAACGCATCCTCAGTGCAGCCCAATCCTCTGAAACAGGACCACGGCAACTATGGCTCTCATTTCACTCTCCTCACCATTCTCTTAATATTACTTTCTCAACAAGTAGAAAAATAAGCTATAAGTAGGCTGAAGTGGCAATAAAGAACGCTCAAAGCAAACACTAAAAACATGATGCCTCTGAATAAAATAAATTACCTCCACACACTTTTTTGGAGTTGTGCCTTCTTCAAGTTTTAAATGATAAAGCCCTAAAATGTTGACACTCAAGTCTACTCCTAATTTGGGATACTTTCTAAGTATCACAACCAGAAACAAACAAATAAGAATAAAATGAAAAAGCATCATTTTCAAGGAAGGAACTGCCATCCCGTCCATCATCCTGAGCAGTCTGCTTTGCTGGAGTCCCAGAGGCTGTGGGATATCACACCACTGCCTAAGGAAGGTTCCAGCCTATAACTCCTGAAGTAACACGCAGCCAGTTTTGGTCTGAGGTTTCAAAGTCTGACATTAAACCAAAAAAGCTGCAGTCTTGCCACAGTCATTCACTCACTCCTACATCACCATGTTACCAGCAAAATACTAAAATAAATTATCCCTTAAGAACTAAGGCCTAACTCTAAAAAGAAAATGGCCTTTCAAAACAGGTGTGTCCAAATAAAGTATTGCGAGAGTTTTATAAGGAAACTCCTCGAATGAGCCAGTGGCCCCATATAGTCCAAATCTTTCTCTGCAGTACTTCTATGTACTTATAAGTATTCTGTCACTACTTTCAAAAGAACTATTAAAGCTATTATTAAAAACATTTATAACAAACAGAAATGCCCTGCATATTATATGATTGCACACAGGGTATCAGAAGCTAGATTCCAAGGACTCTAGAAGACCCAGAACAGAGACCCTAAGGCCATGCCTGTGGCTGCTCCAGCCAGCATGCCCAGCGCCAGGTCACTGTCATTGTTTAGATACCACTCACGAATGATGACTTGGTTGGCAGGCTGCTGTCCATAAAGTCCTGCATATGGGTACTGATAGGGTACAGCATAAGCCTGTCCATCTGCAGCATAGACAACTTGAATTCCTGGTGGGTGTGCACCACTGTATGGACCATAGCCATATGCCTGCTCAGGGGTTGGTGCAGCACAGTCTGTGTAAGGAGGTGGGGAGGAAGCCACAGCTGTCTCATCATACATGATTTCTGAGCCAACATAAGCTGTGTTTGTCCTGGAATCCTGGAGTGTAAACTTCCAGGCCAAACAATCATCTGTGCTTTCTGCACAAAGACTGATGGTTTTCCCATCTCGGCAAACAATCTGCAGCATACAGCCTTTTGGCTTCCCATCTGGTGTCTGAATATCCCTACATTCATGTCCCATGCAGATGTTGATGCAGTCCACTGGCATGTGGACTTATCTTCTACACTCTGCCGAGTTTGGTCATCATAATAGATCAGGTGACCATCTGACCACAGGTCAAACCAGTTCTTCCAGTGCGTCAAAATGGTACTCTGTCACAGCAACCATCCACTCTTCACAAATGCCATTTTCTCACCTGCGAAGCCTCTGGCCACCACTGCGCACAGCAACAGGTCCGTAGCGAAAGGAACTGCCAGGTTACTTGGCTCCTGCTGCCTCACGATAGGGTCCTGGCTGCCATCTGACGTCCTCCATGTGTTTTTTTTTAAATGCCGTTGAGTACACAGAGCCTGAATGATTCTACATCAGATACACAGGTTATAAGTGGACAACAGTAGCTGATGTCAGTAATCTCATCAATGATTTATTAGTCACTTACTATAATCCAGAGAGTTTAATTAGGCACTTTACTTATTAACATTTAATCCTCATAACAAGCCTGTGAAGTGGATGGATATTACCCCTATTTGGAGATAAGAAAACTGAGAATTAGAGAGTTTAATCATTTTGCTTAAAATCTCATTAAGTCACAAGGTTGGTACTAGTCAGCAAGTTTATCTAGCTCAAATCTTTGTTATTTTCTCTACTTCATGTTGACCTCATATAGAAGACAGTTAATATATTGGAATTAATTTAAACCAAGTAGCAAAAGAGCATTAAAATGTATTTGTACAAACTTCATTCTTTATTTCAGTGATCTTCCTAATATATTGTTTTGATGACTTAATTTATATCTGCTTTTAAAAAGTAGGTAACTTTTAACATAGTCTGTACAACAGATGAGTTCAGAAGTGAAGGGAGTAAGGACTCCCAGCAGCACATTCCTCTGTGGTCACTAGTGCTATATGCTCTAGTGGTTCCCCCTGAGAGGGCTATGAGTATCCTTCTGTTGCCATGGGCTAACTACTGTGGGTTGTCTTGTAGACTTGGCTGGGTTGGCCCCTCTTCAATTGATGGCTAATCTCTTCCTTGTTCAGATGCCACCAGCCACTGGTGGGTGGAGCTGTGTCACAAGGAGGCTGGCTGTGGAGCCCCATTGCTCAGTGGTTGCTGGAACTGGGATTGAGATGGGTGGCTGTGGGGCCAGGGGTCCTGCATGGACCTAGTGTCTGTCTGCTGGTGGGTGGGACCAGTTCCTGAAATGGCTTACTGCACAGTCCAGTTGTCCTAAAGCTGTTGACAGCCTGCTAGTGAGCAGGGCTGAATCCCAGGTTGGCCGAATAAAGGGCCCAAGGTGTCTCAAAAATATTGTTAATCTGCTCATGTGTAGATCTGGAGCTCAGAGAGTCCTGGGGCTGTTGCTTGCCTGCTAGTGGGTCAGCTGGGTCCTGACATGGCAGGCCATGGGACTCTGGTGGTACTGAGGTTGGTGTTTGCCCACTGGATGGTGGGGTCAGAGTTCAAGAGATACTAAGGTTAGTAGTATGTTTTTGTTGGGGAGGCTGGTGGTGAGGGCAGAGCTGACTGGTGGGGGAGGCTGCTCTTGAGGAGGCTAGAGCCAAACTCACTGGTGGGTCACCCATCCAGGAGTATGAGTCTTGACTTTACCATGCCTCCACCCCTCCCACTCATCTACTTATGGTTCCTTCTTCATATCTTTAGTTGTAAAAGACCTTTTCTGCTACTCTTCTAATCTTTATCATCAGTAGTTGCTCTGTAAATTGTAGATTTGATGTGCACATGGGAGGAGGTTAGCTTAGAGTCTTCCTACTCTTTGGAAGTCATTTGGTCATTTGGAAGCCATCTTGTCATTCTCCAAAATTACTCAGTTCTTTTCTTTTTCTTTTTTTTTTTTTTAGTATTTATTTATTTATTTATTTTTGGCTGCCCTGGGTCTTTGCTGCTGTGTGTGGGCTTTCTCAAGTTGTGGAGAGTGGAGGCTACCCTCTAGTTTTGGCACGCGGGCTTCACATTGTAGTGGCTTCTTTTGTTGTGGAGCACGGGCTCTTGGGTATTTGGTCTTCAGTAGTTACTGCATGTAGCCTCGGCAGTTGCATCTCAAGGGCTCCCGAGGGCAGACTCAGAAGCTGTGGTGCGGGGCTTAGTTGCCCCAAGGCGTGTGGGATCTTCCTGGACCAGTGATTGGACCCATGTCTCCTGCACTGGCAGGCAGATTCTTAACCACTGGACCACCAGGGAAACCCTACTGTATTCTTTATATATATATACATATATATATAGTGAAAATACTCAACAGGAGTTCTCTTAACCAGTTTTAAAGCTATTACTTAGATATGGGTACTATGTTGGACAGCAGATCACTAAAATTTATCCATCTTGTATAACTGAAACTTTATACCCATTTTACAGCTCCTCATTTCCTGCTCCTCCTAGCCTCTTGGCAACTCTGCATCTGTGGGTGTGAATCTTCTAAGTATCTCATATAAATGAAATCATGAAGTATTTTCTACTCTGTGACTAGCTTATTTCACTTAGCATAATGTCCTTGAGATTTTGTACTGTTGTTGCATATGGCAGAACTTGCTTCCTTTTTTAAAGATTGAATAATATTCCATTGCAAGTTATATTCCATTGCAAGTATGTACCACATTTTGCTTATCCATTCATCTTTCAATGACATTTAGGTTGCTGCCATATGTTTACTATTGTGAATATTGCTGCAATAAACATAGGAGTATGGATATCACTTAGATATTCTAATTTCAATAGTTTTGGATATATACTTAGAAGTAGGATTGCTAGATTATATGGTATTCTATTTTTAATTTTTTGAGGAACCTCTTTACTGTCTTCAGCAGAGACTGGATTTACATTTCCATGAACAATGTACCAAGTTTCCAGTTTCTCCATGTCCTTGCCAACAATGTTCATTTATTTTTTAAAGAATCAAGAGGGAGGGTACATACATATAATTATAGCTGATTTGTGTTGTTGTATGGCAGAAACCAATACAATGTTATAAAGAAATTTTCCTCCAGTTAAAGAAATAAATTAAAAAAAGAATCATAGCTATTTTAACAGGTATGAGGTGATAGCTCATTGTTTTTTCTTTTGATTTGCACTTCCTTGATGATTAGTGATGTTGATGACCTTTTCATATACCCATTGTTCATTTATATGTGTCTTCTTTGCAGAAATGTGTATCCAAATCCTTTGCCCATTTTCTAATTGGGTTGCTTAGTTTTTCCTGTTGAACTTGATTTTGTTTTAAGAGAATATGTGTTCAGTGAATGAAATCACATGTCCTCCTGAGGAATGACTGGCCTCTAAGCCTTTGTTATGAACATTTATCATTACCTCTTGAATTTAACATTTTGAAATTGATTTGTATAATATAGAATTGTGTTTTCAGAAGAATAATGCCAATGACATTATACGGATCCATGTTTAGGCAATCCAGTGGTATGAAGACTTTTAGCAATTGCAGTTTGAGGGACTTTGAAAACTTCATTTCAAACGTGGGGGCCCAGTGTCTTCAGAATAAGCCACAAATGCAGAGACGCCCAGCATCAATCTGTGGCAATGGCAGAGTGGAGGGGAATGAAGTCTGTGACTGTGGTACTGAGGAAGTAAGTCTAATAATTGGAAAATTGATAAATTTATTGTTTCTGTTCATCCCTCTGTAATAAATGCTGTATATCTCAAATATGACTGGGTGCCATGCAAAATATTGGCAATAATGACATAAAGTTAAAATGCATACAAGAATATGCTATCTAGATTTAATAGGTTGAAGAGTTTTGGACAAATTCTAAGACTATTCCCCTAAAATTATTGCTGATAGGAAAAACAGGAAGTCTAGAATGAGCTTTTGGTTCCAGACTAAATATGTGCAGTATTTTCAAATCTGTGCTTAACCTCTGGACATTTGATAAATGTCTTATTGAAGATTAATGTGGGAGCAGACCATAAAGTATCCTTTAGGATATTGCCTTACATTGGAATCACAATGGAGGGAAAACTGTTAAAGTTACAATCTGAACAGTGGGTGATTCTGATTCCCCCATATCACCCTCTTCCCTGTTCCCACTGATAACCACTAGTTTGGCCTTTATATCTGAGGGTCTATTTCTGTTTTGTCATATTCATTCATTTTTAAATTTATATTCCACATATAAGTGATAACATAGAGTGTCTTTGTTTGACCTACTTCACTAAACATAATACTGTCTGGTTCCATTCATGTAGTTTAAATGGCAAAATTTCATTCTTTTTTTTAATGCCTGAATAATATACATATATTATACACATATGTGTGTGTATATACATATATACACATGTATATATATGTGTGCATATATATACACACACGTATGTAAATGCATATATATATATATGCACACACACACCACATCTTCTTTATCCATTCACTTGTTGACAGACATTTATGTTGCTTCTGCATCTTGGCAATTATAAATAATGCTTCTATGAACACTGGGGTGCATGTGTAATTTTAAATTAGTGTTGTTTTCTTTGGATATATATTCAGGAATGGAATTGCTGGATCATATGGTAGTTTAATTTTGTTTTTCTGTGGAATGTCCATACTGTTTTCTATAGTGGAAAACATAGTGTACAGTGGTTCTTTTCTCCACATGCTCATCAACATTTGTTATTTGTGGTCTTTTTGATGGTAGTAATTCTGACACATGTGAGATGATCTCTCAATCATGGTCTTGATTTGCATTTCCCTAATGTTTAGTGATGTTGCCACCTTTTCATGTACTTATTGACATGTCTTTAGAAAAATGTGTATTTAAGTCTCTGCCTATTTTTAAATCAGGTTGGTTTTTTTGATACTAGGGCTTCCCTGATAGCTCAGTTGGTAAAGAATCTGCCTGCAATGCAGCAGACCCCAGTTCAGTTCCTGGGTTGGGAAGATCCACTGCAGAAGGGATAGGCTACCCACTCCAGTATTCTTGGGTTTCCTTGGTGGCTCAGCTGGTAGAGAATCTGCCTGCAATGTGGGAGACCTGGGTTCGATCCCTGGGTTGGGAAGATCCCCTGGAAAAGGGAAAGGCTGCCCACTCCAGTATTCTGGCCTGGAGAATTCCATGGACTGTACATTCCATGGGGTCACAAAAAGTCGGACACGACTTTCACTTTCACAATACTGAGATTGGTTTTTTGATACTGAGTTGTATGAGCTGTTTACATATTTTCAATATTAACCCCTCATCAACCATATTATTTGCAAACATTTTCTCACATTCAGTAGGCTATTTTTTCCTTTAACCAATAGTTTTCCTGTGCTTTTAAGT